TGTTCTTCGGTGTTACACAACAATATGTAATAATATGTACTACTACAATCGATTATCTAATTCTAAAATCTTTTAATTTGTAAAATATGATACTTTCAAAACATATCCGTTGGAAAATAGTTGAGAAGAACTTAGAAGGCCTGTCGTACGAGTAATTGCTAAACACTTAGGTGTTAGCAGATCATCTGTGGGCCGAGTTCTAAAACATTTTCAAAAGTATGGCTGTGTTGAAGAATTACCATCGCTTTTAGGCCGTTCTCGTTTATTAAATATTGACGATATCAAATACCTTAAAACTTTAATGAAAGAAAAACCTGATTGGTATTTGTACGAATTACAATCAGAAATGGAGCTTTGGTTGGGACACAGAATTGGTCTTACAACGATTTGGAGGGCTATACATAGACTTGGATATACAAATAAACAAGTAAGATTTTTTATATTATATGTTTATGAGTGTATCGGTATATTATTATAAATATTTTAATTATATATAGATTGCTAAGCTCGCTAAAGAAAGAAATCAAAATGATAGAAATGACTTTGTTATACGAATGTCTCAATATACACCAAGTCAGTTAGTTTTTTCAGATGAATCTGCATATGATCGAAGGACGTTATCACGTCGTTATGGTTGGAGTTTCTCAGGATTACGTGCTCGGAAATATACATTTTTCGTTAGAGGAAAACGATTTACAATTGAAGGTGCTTTATGTATTGATGGTCTTTTGGCTTATAGTATTCAAGAAGGCTCTATGAATACTAGAGATTATGATGAATTTATTGAACATGTTTTAGTAAATAATTTTAATTTTGTATTTATTTTTAAAATTTGTAATTTATATAATATTAATAAATATTTTTGATTTAGTTACCAAAGATGAATGCATTTCCTGGGCGATATAGTGTATTGGTTTTAGATAATGCTATTATACATAAAAGTACACATTTAGAAGATATATGTAGAGAAAAAGGAGTTATATTGGAATTTTTACCTGCATATTCACCTGATTTTAATCCTGTAAGTACTATAATTTATAATAATTTTATAATAATTTATTATTAATACATTGTTATATTTAAATAGATTGAACAAACTTTTTTTTACATAAAAAATTATTTACGGCAAAATAAAATTTGGGCTGAATCAATGTCTGATCCTTTAGAAGTTTTAGATCTTACTTGTATGATGATTAATAAAAAATTAGCATATGCATGTTATCAACATTCTGGTTATATTCATTAATATTTATTAAATAAGCAAATAAATAAATATTATAATAATTTTAATTATAAATTTATATGTAATTATATTTATTTTAATTTAAGCTAATTAATCAAATAAATCATCAAATTCTATTTTAATATCTTCTATTTCAATCCAAAGATTAATATGTTCTTCTATAAATATTTGACTTATAATTTGTTCAGGTAAAAAAGTTTTGCTATTTGTATCTAATGATGATTTAATAAGAAATCGTTTTCCATCTGGTGGACCATTAGGAAATATAAAAATTAGTAAATCTTGAAATGTCATATTATTAGTGATATGAATATTAGATTTAAATGGTGATTTTTTTTTAGTATGAATTGTTGCAGAGTGAAGCTTTAATATAGTTGTAGATGTAGAAATTGAATCAATCATAGATGTTGAAGTAGAATTAATTTCAGGTAATAAAATACCAGCAGAATTAATTGAATCGATTGTAGATGTAGAAGTAATATTAACTATAAAATTAAAATTAAAGATTAATTATAAAATATAATCAAAGTTCTTGATATTATATAAATATTATATATTTATACTTGATGAATCATTATGATCAGGAGTTCGTTTAGATGTTGGGTATCGATATTTAGTTTTGTCAAACAATGGAACACTTGGTAGATTTTTTTCATCAACACCTGACATCTCATTAAGCTTTATTTAAATAGTTAATAATATTTTATTAACAATATATATATTATAAATTATTTAATATCTTACAATTGCACGAGCCCATATCGTAACCATATCACTATCTAATTTTAAATGACGGCCATCTTCAGAAATTAAACATCCTTGAATGTGTATATCACATAATGGAAGATGTTTATAAATTTTTTCTTTAATAATATTTAATTTATTAACAGTATCTGATTGAGTTTCAAGTGTCTACAACAAATATAATAAATAAATTATTAATTGATTAATGTAATATAAATTAAAATATATATATAATAACTTACACGAATTCTTTTATTAGTTCTATAAGATTCATTATCTTGATAAACACATAACTGTATATTTTTTTTAAATTTTATTTCATTAATAAATGCTACAATTGCACCATCTGCTTTCAAATCATAATGATCAGCTTTAGATGTATTAGACAGTTGATAGCAAATATGGCCAAGCTCAATCTTTCCCCATTGTTTGGGAAGAGTACGTGATAAAATTTCCTCCTCAATGCTTCCAAAGTCTTTTATATTATCAATATCATATGGAATAGCTAATGCACTATCCAATTTTTTATGTGGCTTTTCAAATCGATCATAACATACTAATGTAATAAATGCTAAAAAATTAAATTAATTATAATAAATTTAAAATTTATTAATTATATACAAATTACAAATATTATACTTACTAATAACAGGTTTTTTTACTACAGAAGTTTCTGATTCGATAGTCTTATTGCTTGTTATTTCAAACACATTGGGTAGAGATTCTTTATCTAATGGTTCTCTGCTTGATGAATATAATAGTTCCGTATTTGATGAATTTGATGGTTCTATATTTAATGAATTTGATGGTTCCATGCTTAATGAATGTAATGGTTCGTTGTTTGATGAGTGTAATGATTCCTTGTCTGTTAAATCTATTGTTTCGATACTTTCATCTAATTTATTTTGGTTTTCTTTTTGATCTATAATAAAGATTAAAATATAAATATAGTTTTTTAAATATATAAAACTTCAAATTCTCTTTTTTTTTTAAAAAAAAAAAAAAAAATTTACTTCGAATTTGATTATAATTTCCAAGACATTTTTGGCAAATATTAATAAAGTCTTGACCTTTTACTTCCACTTGTGTTACATTTGTTTCAAACCAGCTGACAAATTCTTGATCGTATTTAACTTTTTTTTTGTTGGCGCCCATTCGTGTAATATGTTTACTAAGAAAGTTCAACTTATGTTCAGAACTTTTTTTACGCTTCCAGTGAAGATCCACTGGTTTGCAAGAACAGTCTTTGCCATAAATCTTTGTACAAACTAAGCATTTCATACATATTGGGCAAGCATTAAGGCGAAAGCTTAATAAAGATGTTGAAGGAGTTGACATTGTGAATGTAATACAATTCGATTGATGTGTGCTGTAACAGTAACACAAATTTTTTTTATATACTGATCATGCACCGATCATG